GGTGTAAGATGAAAACAATAATTTATAATTTATCAAGGGGTCATGAGGGTGGAAGGAGGAAGAGGGAGAAAAAAGAGGAGCTGATACCAAGGGCTCAAATAGAAAGTAAATGTTTAGGAAATTACGATGGGAACATATGTACAACTATGTACAGCAGAACCCCAGATGCAATGCAGTCAAGTTCCGAATCAATTTTTCCCATAAGAAATAACTGAAAACAATCCATTCTCAACCACCAAGTTTTTACCCTAACCTTGTATTTTTATATAAAACATTACACAGAAATTTCAAAGTAAGTAAGTTCAGAGTTAAATCATATAATTTAAATAAGAAACATTTTAAAAGTTTTTAACAACTACAGTATGGCCCATACTTTGAGATTGATGAGGATTTGGATCGGTGGGCACAGATGTGGAAAAGAAGTATGGAGAGAGAGTCATTGTTTGGAAGTGGAATTCCCTCCCTTAAAATAAACTGGTAACTGCTTTTCAGGAGTTTTTTCCCCTCCTTTGCCTTTTTTCACTAGGACCTGGCTGGCTTTCTCTAAAAAAAAAAAAATCTGTCTAATGTGGTCTGCTGTTGGTGTTTCCTTAACTGTTTTCTAAAAGACTTTACTAAATTATCAACGATATCGGTAACATGCTAACCAGTTCCTTATCATGATGATTCTTTTCAAATTATAGCACAACGCTTGGAACACAGCCAGAAAAGATTTAAACAACTCGAGCACTAAAAACTCCAACTAACAAGTAACCGAAACACAAACTGCTTTTGTTTACAAAAATCAAGTGTGTTGGGTCGGATTCTGATGTTTTGTTTGAGTTCCGATGCAAAATTTTCTCTACATCTGATCATGTCGAGTAACTGGGGTTCTATTGTGTGGAAAATTCTAAGAGCTGTAAGAGCCCCCAATAAAATAATTTTGAAAAAAATAAAAGTTTAAATTTGTTATCAAGCAAATTTAGCTTTTTGTGTACTTAGAGTTTTGGAGGGATTTTAAAAAAAATCATTTTATTGGGGGCTCATACAACTTACTACAATCCATACATACGTCCATTGTGTCAAGCACATTTGTACATTTGTTGCCA